CTCACGAATGAACAAACAATTGTAGCATTATCCAAATAAAATTTATTTTCAACTACAACTATACAAACTATGATAACTATGGGAAGACGTTGCCTTCTGTTCCCATTAGTTTAAGTTTAATTCGTACATTCATATACGAAGAAAAGTTGGGTTTCGAGGAGTCTCTTGTTTCACAATTGTTGAGCTTACTTCCATTTCGAGTGAAAGTGTTGTGTGAAGAGATTCGAAGCTCGGTTCCACCAGAAGACGACGGCGGATTCCTCTTGACCAGCTGTCGATTGGCTTTACTGGAACATTCATTTGACGCTGTTTCCGAGACAATCTCCTTCGATTCCGGCGAAAAGGTGCTAAGTTTTCGTCCGTAATATGACGAATATCATCATCACAACAAAATGCAAGCTAATGAGTCAAGGAAACTCACCGGCAAATCCCTAAAAAGTGGTATGCATACTCTACATCTGGCCTCTTTGATCAAATATAAAGTGATTTGGTTAGTGAAGGTCATATTTCAACTTCGAAGCTTGTGGGTGTGTCTGTCTCTGTATGTGTATGTGCATGTTTGTGTTCGCTTATGCACGAAACCCGAAGTGATTGGTACATTTATGTTACAAAGAAAAATGTTAACACAATGTTGCAGTACCTTTCCTTTGATTTGAAGATGCGAATGGTCTCACCGGAAGCTGTATGGGGCTTGTCTTGGGGCTGCGATTGTGGATTTGTGTGAATAGATCCTTGACGCACCGTCGTGCGACATCGAGGAATCTTTGCTGATCTTTTGTTCATCACGTGACATGCATCGTCAGAGCAGAACAGCATGTGACGCTTTACGATAATTCAGCAAGCACAATGACGAAAAAGTTCGAGGACCCATTCACACAAATCTATAATCATACCTCGATGGCTTCGGGTGAGACGAACTTGTGAATCGCTTCCACTGTCGTCTTGAAATGAAAGACACTTTAAAGTGACTTTGAAACGCAGTTTTTCTACAAAATTTGTACACATTTCCACAGGATTTGAAGGATTATGTTTCAGTAGAACTAAACGATGGTTGGTCGCGAGTATTCTCACGTCGTTTTCATCGCATACCTTCACTCGAAATGGAGAGGCTGAAAAATTAACGATTGGAGTTTGTGCGTGTAGAAGCCACAAAAACAGGAATATTTTAATACATGCCATTCATTAATTAGTTCTCCGATTGAAGATATGAAGACCAAGAGGGTGTGGCCCTCGGTATGGTCGCAGTCTTCTGTCGATTTATAGAACTGGGTTGACTTTATTTTCGCAATCTGGTTTTGTTGTCAGGGCGAATTAGTAGAAGACCTCTGCCCTAGTAATTATCATCCTTCTCAGCATCAGACCGTGGATTCGGTACATTCTCAGACGTTTCGCCGGCATCGTCGTCGGCGTCATCAGTGAGTGCTGCCATTCTGCCAACCAAACTACAAACTCGTCAAAGAGACAAGTGAAGTCAATCCCTCGAGCAACGTCGAGCCGAAAAGAAAAAAACAAAAACAAATTATCACTAAGTGATGTCTGTTTGTTTGGTCTCTTTCACGAGTTGTGGTTTGATGTTAAGACTGGCGAGACTGACTGATGATGCCGGTCTGATGCTGGGAACTATGATGACAAGGTAGTTACAAAAACGAGATCCACTCACTTCTGGTTCTCCGATTATTCACGATTATCCACTTCTTCTGTTTCGTTGTGTCACAAGAATGGGTTGCTTTCCAAATGATTTCCACAATGAATGCTAAAATCAGAGCAGCAAGGAGAAGCAAAGGGTCAACTTTTTTATTCTGTCAACACAAAAACTAGGCTACCAGAGACGATTGAGTGTTTAGTCAAAACGACATGACGAGTGTGTCGTCGTTTTATGATTGGAATAGACTAACACATCTCTTAATGACACATTTACATACAAAATGGAAGTCGACATATCTGTCAGTTGTTTGTATCGTTAAATGGCTCAATAGTGCTTCATTTGTGTTTAGGATTATGAGGTAATATTGAAAATATTTTAATTTATGTTTCAGTTCGCTCTAATCTTTCGTTGGCAAGCCTTTTTGAGCAAAGATACAATTTTTGTGGCATTATGAGGTTGGTGTTGTCTTGCAACTTGGACATGTTGCTAAGGCGAATTCGCATTATTTCCGCCTCTGATCGTTTCACTCTCATCGGCTCGAGTCCCGACAATTTTCCGCGGAAAACTTTTCTCTCCCTCCAGTCCCAGGCCGACTCGCTGTGCCCATTTTCCCATCTTCACCAGAATGCAGAGGGTGGGTGCACATCGAAAGTTCGGCATGACAACATGACCCAATTGGACAAGTAAAGATCAAGCCAACACTATCTACAAAATATGCCATCACTGAAGTTGAACTAGCATTTGTGAATTCGTCTTAAGCCACCGAGTTGATACTCAAATGCGGTTTGAATACTTTTCACTATTTTTTCCCATTTCAATGTGGTTGTGCTTTTGGCCAGTTGGTGCCTATTTGAAGTCTTCAGCCAAAATCCGGTACCTTTTAAAATCGTCCATAGCAACTAACTCTACCAATTAATTGCCAGACTCCTTTTTTGTCTGTCCTCTACATTTTCTGATCATGTTGACAACATTTCAATTCAATCTCGACGACTTCAATATGCATACTGGCATTTCTGTCAAAGTTGTGTGAAAAGAACTCATTTAGAGATTGACGTTAACTCGGTACTAATGATTAATACTGATTAGTACTATTTCCCAAATATGGCTAGCGCTCTCGAGCGTAATGGAGGATATAAGCTGATCTTGTGGACAGTGCCATAATTAAAATATCATTTTCGAGAGGCGTGACCTTTCGTGTTAGTTACTTCTGACCTGTGGGCAAATGTCATTTGAGCCAGTTGCACGTTTCCACAACGAATTGCCACACAACGCTTGTGATCACTTCTCGAATCTCGTTGGGGCTCAGTTCAAAGGTGTATTCATTTAAACGAAAGTGTAACTGCTTATTTAGTTTATTTTGGACAACTTCACTTATTATGAGTGGATGTCATATTATTTGAGTTAAAATTTCTAACATTATTCTATCAATTCAATTCAATATCCACTCAGCACCGAAAGGATCATGTTCCTTTGAATTGACCTTTATATCTCATTAATTATTAGTTCTAATGTCGCCAACGAACTTTTGAAATCATGACTAAATTGCTATGATTCTAGCACAGGTAGTTCTGTTATACTCAATATTTTTTAATGAAACTATTTTC